AAACTCTCACAAATTTTAAGTGATAAGTTGTACTTTAACCTTTACTTTTCTTATTCGTCTTTGCCTTCTATCATTATCTCTGTCTACGTCTATAATGTGTGGTACTTATATATTACTTTCACAAACATGTATATTGTATTTCTTTACCTGACTTGTTTTGTGTGGTGTACAGTTTAGCTTAGTATCTACTTAACTATCTATTATATTGATAGGTTTAAGCGGATGGCATCCTTGAATTCCTTAGTATATTTATAGAGTTAATTTTAGCACTAACAAAGTTTGATTGTTACAGTGCCATTTGTTAATTTAAGGGAAACCTATTAATACTCATTACACATAGTTATAAGATATACAATTTGTAAGGCTGTTGGTTTTCTTAATAAAATAAATAAATAAATAAAAAGAATATTGGTTGAGAAGATATAAATTGAAGTACACAGTGGTATTCACATAGGGAATTTTAACATTATCAAACCAACCGTGGAGTAAAACAAATAAGAACACAATTATAAATTATGTTTCTAAAAAATTCTCGAGAATTTAATCAAGTGATCAGTTTTAGGAGAACTGAATTTTTGTGTTTTATCTATAAGAAAACAGGAAAAATGTTAATTTCAATCTTTTACCATTACTCATTTTTTAGATGGAAAACTATTAACACAAAGGAAGTGCTACTTGTATATTCATATCCTTATTATTTAAGCTTCATTATTTTGATATCAATGTGTAATGAAAAGTAAATTATGTGATTTATTACATAATATTTTTTTAAGGTCGAAGATTATTTTATAGTATATTTTAAGTGGCTTAGAATATTCCATAAAGAAATACAATTTTGTTTCTAAAATTTGTAAACCATTTCACATTTTGAATAACTCCCAGATTTAGGTACAATTTAAATTAGAAAAGTTAAGTTCCATCTGTATAGGATTTCTCTGTACAAAACATTAATTTGATATAGTAATTAATTGTAATTCTATACCTGATTTACCTAGTATTAGCAAAGATATTAGTAAAAAAAATGTAATTTATACCATTTTTTTTTTCAAAATTTCCGATAGGTCTTTATTTCTTGACAGGCATTGGGCTTTAACAAGTCTGAGAAACTGAGTCACCTAAAGTTTTAGTTGCAATCTTTGTCAAAATTTTAACCAATTTTCTCTTCTTTGATACTATTTTCTTCATCAATGTAACCTGTAATGAAATAAATAAAATAATTAAGTACTATATTCATATTTTGTAACTGAATGATAAACATAAAAATATTAATTTATTATTTAGAACTTTTGATGTGTTTGACTTGTTTTGACCATCCTATAAAAGCCCTTGCATTTAGAATAAGATTCGTTCTCATCATAGTAATGTAATCACGTAGTTAAGGAAGTCAGTATTGCACTGAATTAATTTTAATACATTACTGTAATGTAATAGTTATTAAATATCATTGAGATATATTTGTAGTTTTTAAAAAGCTTCACCACCACTCCCAAAACTTAACTGGCGCAGCCAGCTTACAGCTTACAGCTGAGTTCAAGTACACTCAAATTGGTCTTGTCCACAGTTCCGGATATCCTCAAACCAAATAAGTTTGTTAAATCAGGAGCTGAAGAAACCTTCCTATTCAGACAAGAGGAGATCTACAGGTAGACGTGGCAGTGAGCGGACTGTAAATAAAGCGTTTTACTATCCTGTCTCATTGTAGTTATTTCCTGTGGTTATTTCTTTATGGCTCTATGTTGTGACTTTTGAACTAAAATCGTTGAAAGTTATTTGATTTCTGCACAAAACTTGGCAGTTATTTATTAGGTAAATATTATTATAAAGAAAAATAAAATGGATTAAATAAAAATAATGTACTTAATTATAATCTTAACATTTTCACTGTCCGGTTGGCAGACACAATAGTAAGACAATAGCAGTGCCCTATATGTAGTGCACGGGACAACAAAAGGGTTAAGAAGTGCTAAAATTATAGAAAGAGAATAATTAACAGAATATTTTTGTATACATGTATTGATTTTTAAATAAAAATGGAACAGAGAAGAGAAAAAAGTATGTCACTTTCTTCAAATTAGACCTAAGGATCTAAAAAAGTTTGATCAGCATGTTTGATGGCGATCAAAGTATTTCAAGTTTATTTAATATATTATAAAATTTTTTATGGCATCAACAAGATTATACATACAAACGAAATAATATTATATATAACAATTACCTTATAGGATAAGATGCATCTCTTTTTAAGTGAAAGATTCTGGTGATTCTAGATCAAATTGAAACTGAATTAGAAAATATTCTTAGTTGTTTCAATACCTACTTAAAAAAAAAATTATAGTTAACCAACTTCACAATCCATACATAATAATTCACAAGGTTTTAGATATTCATTCGTTTTGCAAATAATTTTAATTAGATTTAACCACAACATCAAATTTAGAATTACATGTAGCAGAAAACAATTCCTATGGCCTTATAATATTAATATTGGTGTGTTACTTAGAGATGGCCATCTCAGTGTAAGTGATGAAAAGTGGATTATAATTAAAGTTTCAGATTTAAATGTTTCGCATGAGCAGTTAGAATTTATTATATTTTACATGAACTTAAATACTTAAATAAGCATGTTAGAATTATTTTGACAAAAAAATCTCTAAACATTCAATTAATTATTATAATATTTCAAACTGAATTCGAAACAAATTCCAGTATTGAACAATTTGAACAGTTATCACCTTCATTTAGAGTCAAACAAGGCATTCTAAACTCCCTAAGATATATTATTAAGATTATTACTGGTGACTTCGATTATAAAGATGCTATAAAGTATGAAAATATGATTGGTAATTTAAAAATTCGTCAATACACACTAGTGAACAAGATTACCTTAATGAAATAAATAGAATCACTTGTTAAAATAAGTAACATTTATAAGAAATAATTTTATCAAGATTAATTCAAATTCAATTCTTGTGAATACAAGTAAAATAGTACAGGTAACATCTTTGAAAAAGATATATGTCATTGTTATATGCCTATCATTTCTTAGTTAGATGTTTTAAATTATTTTTAAATTTATAAATATCCTCCATTTCATGAAACATAGATGGAACTTTATTGTTGATTTTAAACAGTGTGCCGAAAACGCTTTATCTAAGTAAAGCTGTCTGATGAAATTGTATAAGGCCGTTTTTATAAGGCCAGGTCAAGAGTACCCTAAACCGTAGAGCATGTATGAAGGGAATAATGATTGATTTATTTTTACACAATTTCCAATCAATCTACACTAGATGGAATGAAATCGAAACTTCTGTAATCTTTAGTAAATTAGGAATTTTACTTGTAGATATTGAAGAATTGTTAAAATCATTAAAATCAGTAGAGTTAACAAATAAATTTATATACCCCATAAGCTATAACAACTAAGTAAAAATAGAATAATGTATAAAATTAAGGGAAGTCAAATAACATTTGTTTTAGAAATAAATACTATACAGCCATCCTGTTACCACTCCCTCTAAACTATAATTTTAATTCTTTAATACCCATAACTACAAGTAAAAGGTTCTGAAATGGTCTCACTCACTCAGTCTTGCAATTACAAGGCCCTATGTTCCTGCACTATGACGACAAGTCACAACTTGCACAAGTTGAAGATGCTTGTATGAATGCTTTAATGAGATTCCCAGATAGTACGAGCTCCTGCCATCCAGTACCAGCCGAAAAGCAGATCTATATAAGCATTTTGGACATTAGTGATTTAATAAATCTTGAATATTTCAATAACCTTAAAATAAGGAAAGTGAAATAAAATATACTGTAAAAAATTTATAAATGTAAAAAGTGTTGTGATCAGAAGATGTCAATTACATCATTATTTATTAAAACAAAACTAAAAATTAAACCATATTCAAGCGGCATCTTTGAAAATTTGTAATAAATTGTTGCTTTTTTGCAAGCTTTGTTCTAGTGATATTTTTATAACGATACATTTTCATAGCAAATATCTATATAATTTTTTGTCTTTCCATAGTTACAGACACAATTTTATTAAGTGACTGCCACTTTATACTATGTAGTTATAATTAAAAATGTTTGGTGAAATAATCACAAAGTGATGCAATGTTTTTTATTCAAAATGTATGGTTCAATACTTCATTACTGGAGTCCACTTGATACCTATTTAGAAATCACAACTTTCAGCAGCCGAAACTTAAGTACCATGATAAGTAATAAAATTACTCGCCTGTTGCAGTCAGAGGCACGCCATGAGCTATTTAATCGTTAGTAAGCAAGCATGGATAAGAGTACCTATCGAAGTTTTCTGCCTAGTCAAGAAACGTTCTTTGGGAAATTCAATGATCTAGGAATTTGTGAATACTATGAAATACATCCACAAGTTTCTTAAATTATCGTTTTTAGGGAATCTGCACCAACATAGCACTTTTCGTATTCCGTTAAGATAGTGTCATAGTATACAATATGCACACGACCAGCACAAAAACGGAGTATTGTTATTTTCACAAATAACGGAGGAAACTTTGCGTCCAAGATGTCAATGCAACATAAATACGAGGAAATACATTTGCGCTAAACTCAGAATCAATATCGATAATTTTGAATTTTGTCAATTTGATTTGACATTAACACAATATGGCGTTTTAAAATGGCGTCCGTAGCCAGAGAACAAATTGCGACGGTAGCGCCAAGTTGCATAGAATGGAACTAAGCTGTCACGGGCCTGGAGATGACCTTGGGGGGCTTTAAAGAAGCGAGATGGAATAATATCTATCTCCCTCGCACGTTATGTTATATTGCCATGAAAGAAATATTATTTTAAATGACACATCATTTTAATCATTTTTTTATTTAATAATTATAATACTTTATTATATAATATATTTCGTTAAACATATATTTATTACGTCTTTATTGAAGTAACAAAATGTATAAATATCAAACTGCATACTATAATAAAAAGGCAAGTTATGGCAACGGCAAATAAACAAAATTACAAATGGCAGATCCGTTCCGCTTGTCGTTTCGTTCTTGTTTATTTGTGTTGCAAATTAAGTTTATCTTTCGATATAAACTTATTTCTTACATTACTAACGTTGAGTTGAACATCCCGTTCCTTCGTTTTAGTGTTTACAGTGAGAAAGAGACTCAAAAACAAGTGCTGTGCATTGTGCTAAAGAGACAGAGACTCAATTTTATCTTTCATCATGAAAGAAAACGAAAGGAAATGTTACAAGTGTGGATGTTCTCCTGCTCATGATCGTAACATCACCTTGCATCGTTTTCCTAAGCCTGGGAGAACAAATAGCGTACGGTACGTATGCTAAATAGCTTTTTGATTACTGATTAAAACAGTTTTAAAATGTTTATATTTGAACCACTGAATTAATAAAGTAGCAGAAATAAAAATTATTATGGGCCGCATCGGCTAATAAAACCTAAGATACATATTAAGCGATTTAAAAACGTGTGCAAATAAATCTGAAAATTAGAGAAATTATGCAGAACAGCATGAGGTGTATCACATAGAAATTATAACATAATAAAAAGTTCTAGATGTATTGGTACACATAGAAATAACTTGTGGAATAATATTTATATATGTATACAATACAATCACATTGTTTGAAAGGAACAATCTTCTTGTATTGCACTCTTCTTCCAAGCACGTTTTTAGCACCTCAGTAGTATATTATTATCTAATTGTAATTTTTCAGATGTGAATTATGGGCGAAGTACTGTTTTCCTCATGAATCTTGGTGGTCACCAGAATTTCAAAACAATCTTCATTCTAGGCATTTAAGGTGGCACAAGTCGCGGGCTCGAACTCGCTGGTGGGCGCGGCCAAAAAGCACGCTGTCTCACCTGGCATCGTGCCCGACAGAGATAGTATCAGTGATGAGCATATCGACACTAGTATTCACGCATGTCTTGTTCGTACGGTGTTCCGAACCGTTAGAATGAAAACGAAGTTACACGAACACGATGCAACATCTATACTAATAATATAATAAAGCAGAAGAGGGTTTTTGTTTGTTTAAACGTGCTAATCTCTGGAACTACCAATCAGATTTGAAAAATCTTTTTTTGGATATTATAGCCAGATTCATGTTGAATAATATAGGCTATACAGCATTAGGCTATATATCTCAGCTAGCCTATATTTGTTAAGGAAGTCAGAAGAAAAAGCGCTGTTATGGTTCGGGATACGTAAATACAATGTTCTAGAAAAACATAGATCTTTACTCCGTCTAAAAAAAGTCCGCGATAACATATGTCTATTTCTTATATATAAGCCACAATTAGGCATTTTGTGACAAAAAAAAATGAAAATTTAATTATTAGGCACCTTACGAACCAAAGTTACTTCATTATCAAGACAATGTTATGAAGATAAACTTCGTTCTTTATATCATGTTTATATAGTACATAGTTTAAGAGATAATGTAAAATTAAAATAATTCAATACCTACTTGGCTTGACGCGCAAACAACGCATAACCCCTAGCCCGGTGCGAACTGAGAAGCCAGTATTGAAAGCTTCTATGAGCGAGGTTAGGTTAGTCGTTAGTTCAATCGTTATCTATATCTACACAAATAAATAAAATTGAAGTGTCTGTTTGTAATGTCAAAATAACAGCTTTTTACTAATTGCGTATGAAACTGTATACGGTACTTATAACATTAACACAATTTTTAACATTTTTGTATGTCTGTCAGTCTGTTTGTTGCGGTTAATTTCCAAAACGGCTGGACCGACTTTGACGGAACTTTCACTAGTAGATAGCTCATGTTATAAGAAGTAACTTAGCCTGCTTAAATTTAAGAAAAATTATTAGGTGTCTTTGCAACAAAATTAACGCCCTAAACTAAACGCGGACGAAGTCGCGGGGTACAGCTAGTAGCTAAAATAAATTCAAAATTAATTGAGTACTTTTATCTATCTCCCGGGTGAGCGTAGCAATGATTAGTTACATCTTTATTTCTGAACTCTTTCATTTCACGTTGCTATGGTATTTTGAAAGTTTAAATTTAATTGATTAATAAGTATAAGAGGTTGATAGCAAATTTATCAAGAATCATTTCTTGCCTACACACTTTTCATGTATCGTGTACGTTTTTCTTTAAAACTGGAAAAAACCGCGCATAATATGCCGACAGATAAAATAAAAGTACTCCATTAATCATGACAATTTTTCCATACATTACAATAAAATAAAATATTTGATTGCAATTATAAAATGCTTGAACTAGGTGTCATGTCATGCCACGCATCTCGGACACGTGATAACGCGGGTGAAACCGCGAAATTATTAGGTATACCTCTGTGGCTCTATATACCTAATATAGATTGCTTATTTTATTATGTTTAGTTTTCCCCGAGTGGTCATGCAGCAATCACTCAAGAGTTTGGCTTCGAACGTGTGTAACTCGATAATTATCCCACGGCAACGAAATACCTGAATAAACGGTATCATATATGATATTTGGCAGCTCCGTGGCGCAGTGGCTTAGCAATGAATTGTTGTACTGGGAGCCGCGGGTTCGAATCAATCGAACAAGTATTTGTATGGTCTACAAATAATTGTTCCGGGTCTGGATATTTGTAAACTGCCTCCACGATACAGGAGAAAATCCTAGTGTGGGGTAATGTTTTTTTGAAAAAAGAAATTCCATAGCCATCCAATTCCAATTCCATAGTCATATAGCCTATCTCTGAGCAAAATATCATCCAGATCCCTTCAGCCGTTCTGGCGTGATTGAGTAACATACATCCATTCATCCGTCCATCCAAATATCCAAACTTTCGCATTTATAATATTTAGATAATAATCGTAATTGGTCTGCCTACCTATAAATTGTTTTCAAAAATACTTACTTACCTGGCTTTTTTTATAATATATACTCAATATCACTAAACGTAAGCACAGGTTTTTATCAAGACAAGTGACCCATCAAGATTGTTTTCTTAGTACTGACGTACCTACCTAAAGTTTATAATTTTGTGGCCACGACGCGGCGAGGTTTTGTGACATTTTGTTGTACTGTAGATTGTAGGTATCTAGGTAATAACAGTAGGTACCTATGAAAATCCCACATAATATACTTTGTTTGTCCGCCGCAAAAGTCGTCTAATAAATAATTAAACTGTTTTGTAATTCTTTATTTATTTATAACACTTGCATTGAGAGCCGTGGTAGCTCAGATGGTTAGCGCTCGGTGTAAGTATCACATTACGCGAGCAACCCGGGTTCGATACCCGTCGGCACCAATGAAATTGTTGCAATTTTATATAGTAATCGAATATAGACTTTACTTTTTTTACTTTTATAATTATGTTATATTACAGACGAAAATTTTAAAATATTGTCTGTCGTCCAAAACGCATCATCTCTTTCAATTATACTCGTATCAATTTCCATGCCGTCTTTTGTTTTTGGCGTCCAAATTACAAAATAGCAAAACTTTTCGTTTCGAATAAAACTCGAATGCGCAGGTCACCGCCTGTGCATGTGTGTGTAAGCATCGTCCTCCCGCACCGCACCGGGGGAGACATTATTCAGTGAGATGCACGATAATTCATAGTAACATGCGCGCGTAAAAAAATACGAAAAGGCCTTTGGAAGAAGGGGTTTTATGAAAAAACCACTGCATTAATCAATTACAAATAAAATTTATTGAGTTCTTCGATAATTGAGTTGTGTCGGTACCGACTTTGTTTTGGAAATTTTTCACTTCTTTTATTACTAATTTACGCCCAAAGTTGTGTTAAAATTGGCAATAAAAACGAATCTTTGGTAGCTCGTAACTTTTTAATAACATTTTATTTTACTATTCTGTTTCCGTACAGACAAATTTAATAATGAGACAAAACGATATCATGTTTAATTTTGGATGTACACTGTCAAACAGCGGAGTAAAACCCCTCCGAAATTTCTATGGAAATAATGTCGACTAGTGTCACCTTAATGTTGTGTACTAAACATTTTAAGAAATCATCATTCATTGATAATTTTGGAAAGAGGCTAGTCAAATCTGCAGTACCTGATGAGGAATGTGATAAGGTTAGTTAATCTTTCTTTTGTTACTATCTACATTTTTTTCTTTTGTGTGGCTTTTCTTATACTACAGTGAAAATATTATCTAGTTAACAAACGGTGGTAGCAGATTGAGTGGTGATTTATAAGGGTATGCGATGTAACCTACCATTACTTCTCAACCATAAAAAAACAAAAGATATAAACTTTAAAAAAAAGTTATCTTTTATTTTAAAAAAAAAACCTTATCCATACTAGGATTTTCTCCTGTATTGTGGAGGCAGTTTACAAACATAAATTGGATGAGGACAAACAACCCCCGGCACAATTATTTATAGGCCTTACAAATACTTATTCTGTGCAGCATTCGAACCTGTGACCTTTAGTGCCGCAACTCAATGCTAGCCACTGCTCCGCGAGCTGTCAATGTTGTTTAAATGACATGATTATAATTTAGTTACTTACAGAATATATTTACAAATAAAAGAAATTGTTAAAATAGTGTCTTAAAAATAGGATGGTGGTGGTAATGGTGTTAAAGCAACATTCATTAAAAAAAAAACAAGTTGTATTTAATGTTTATAAATTTATAAAGCTGTTTGAAATTTAGAGATTGGTTGACCAATGCTGGGATACATGATATAAATAATGATTTGATAATCTCTAATTTTCAGATCACATTAGCTGACCTTAATTTGGAACAAAGGAATGTCATTCAACATATTGCAGGTCCATCAACTAATAAACAACCACTGTCTGAAAATATTCAGAAGACCATAACTGTTCCAAATGTATTTGAGCCTGTTGCGGGTCCGTCAAAATTTATACAACCCTTGTGTGAGAATGTAAATTATAAAACCATTCCTGACAAAACTAGTGATATTCCTCAAGTAACTGAGAATATCAACCCTGTTGCTGCTGCAAATCCATCCACGAAAAACAAAAAGGATAAAGATATGTTGATAAAAATGAAATATCATCTGAGAAAAACTAACAGGCTTCAAAAAACTGTAAAGCATCTAAAGAATAAAGCATTTCTCAAAGTATTGAGCAAAAATGATTCTGTAAATGAAATATTAAAATGTAAAATATCCCCCTCTTTTGCATTATTTTTGCAAGGAGAATTGCAAAACAATAAAAAAAAATCAAAAGGTCGAAGATGGAACATGGACTCCAAAATAATAGCACTAAGACTGTATAAAAGGTCACCTAGGTGTTACAAATTATTAAGAAGGATGATTTGCCTGCCAACACCTAGTTCATTAAAAGCGTTATTAAGCAAGTTTCACATGAAAGTTGGTATTAATGACCAAATATTTAATGTTTTGAAAAAAACAATAAAGCAACAGACTCCCTCAGACAATGAGTATATCCATATATTTGATGAGATGTCAATAAAAAAGAATTTGTTTTATAACAAAAAGGAGGACATAATTGAGGGTTATCAAGACCATGCATTGCAGGGCAGGTCACCACAAATGGCAACACATGCCCTCGTGTTCATGATTGGCGGAATCCTTAAAAAGCTGAAACAACCAATTGCTTATTATTTTTCTAGTGGATCTGTGACTGCAGACAGGCTGTCAGTTCTTATAAAGGAGGTGAGCATTATGGTCTTTTATTTGTTATTATGTCAATATATGTAGTAGTACTTTTTTACCATATTCATTTACCCTTTTATCATTCTAGGTTCTGCAACATTGTTTTGATGCTGGAATTAATATTTCAGCTACAGTGTGTGATATGGATGGTGTGAATAAGAGAGCTTTAAGTATCTTGGGAGCATCTGTAGAACAGCCATATATTCTGCTAAATAATAGAGAAGTGGTTACCATTTTTGATACTCCACATTTGCTCAAATGCTTTAGAAATATGTTTTTAAAATATGACATTAAATGTCCAACAAATATAACATGAAATGATCAAAGTGGATTTGGTAAGATATTTTGTTTTATTACAATCATAATATTATACATATTTCCAATTTACTGGATATTTACACAAATTTTTTTTACAGGTGTTGCTAAATGGAGCCATATAAAGGAGTTTTATGAAACAGATAACACCAATCCCAATTTTGTGTTTGCACCGTGCTTAAAACAAGAACATTTAAATCCAAATACGAAGCAGAAGATGAAGGTGTAGCTAGCTGCACAAGTGTTAAGCCACTCAGTTGCTGCAGGAATGTATGCTAAAATTTCACAAGGTAAATAAAATTTATAATTTAAAGTATAATATTTAAACATATACCCATTAAAATAATTATTAACTTAAAAAGGAACTAGGCTCTCCCAAGTACAAATTATTGTTTATTGTGTGATATGTGATATTTTTTTTGAGTTGTCTTGTAACATACTTTAAATGATCATCATTTTCATCATCATCATTACAGCCCTTCACAAGTCCACTGCTGAACATAGGCCTCCCCCAAAGAATGCCACAAAGCACGGTCCTGAGCCACCTGCATCCATCGACTTCCTGCATATCTTACCAGGTCGTCACTCCATCTAGCGGGGGGACGCCCTACACTTCGCCTGCCGGTACGAGGCTGCCACTCGAGAACCTTTCTTCCCCATCGGTTGTCGGTTCTTCGAGCTATATGGCCGGCCCATTGCCACTTCAGCTTACTAATCCGTTGGGCTATGTCGGTCACTCTGGTTCTACTGCGGATATCCTCATTTCTGAGTTTATCACGCAGAGAAACTCCGAGCATAGCCCTCTCCATAGCTCGATGAGCGACCTTGAGCTTCCTCATCCGGCCAGCAGTGAAGGACCACGTCTCAGTTCCGTATGTCATCACTGGCAACACGCACTGGGTGTACAGTCTCGTTTTCAAGTTTTGAGGTATACCTGACGAGAAGATGTGCCGTAATTTCCCGAACGCTGCCCAGCCGAGTTGAATCTGTCGATTGACCTCTCGGTCGAAGTTGGACTTACCTAATCGGACTATTTGTCCCAGGTAAACATACTCGTCAACAACTTCGAGCTTAGTGTTCCCAACAACTACCGGCATAGGTGTGACATGGACATTAAACATGATCATTGTTTTGTCCATGTTCATCTTAAGACCTATCCGTTGGGAAACACTATTGAGGTCATTGAGCATAGTGCTTAGGTCCTCCAGCGATTCTGCCATAAGGACTATATCGTCGGCAAATCGAAGGTGAGTGATGTACTCGCCATTGATGTTGATACCGTATCCTTTCCAGTCCAGAAGCTTGAAAACATCTTCCAATGCAGCGGTAAAGAGTTTCGGGGATATGACGTCACCCTGTCTTACACCTCTCTGCAATTGGATAGGTTTCTGTACTCGGATAGCCATCGTAGCCCTACTGTACAAGCACTTCAACACTTCGATATACCGACAGTCAACTTGGCATCGCTGAAGGGACTGCAGCACCGCCCAAATTTCGACGGAATCAAAGGCTTTCTCATAGTCCACATACGCCAGACATAGTGGCAAATTGTACTCCTCGGACTTCTATACAATTTGCCGAAGGGTATGTATGTGGTCTATGGTGCTAAAGCCTTAAAGTCGTCAAGTCTGCGCGCGAGACGATTCGTAATGACTCTCGAAAACAGCACGTAGACGCGGCTCAGAAGGGAAATCGGTCTGTAGTTCTTCAAGAGAGCGTTGTCGCCTTTCTTGAAGAACAAGACCACCGCACTTCTGCTCCACGCCTCCGGTGTAATGCCACCATGGAGGACGGAATTAAAGAGCTTCTGAAGGACTTCAAGTACCGGTTTTCCAACCGCTTTCAGAAGCGCCGCTGTAATTCCATCCTGGCCTGGGGCCTTGCCGTTTTTAAGGTGCTGGAGAGCCATTCTAATCTCGCTCAGACTGACGTCCGGGATATCATCGGAATAATGTCGGATAAGACTCGTTCTTGGATCGTTACTCACACTTGCGTGTGGCTCCAACGATGACGTGTACAGCTGCCCATAGAACCTCTCAATCTCACTCAAAATCTCAGGTGCCCCGGAAACGATGCTGCCACATTCGGTCTTCAGCTTTGACAGTTGGCTCTTTCTGGCAGACAGATATCTGGCAAAGACTTTGGAGCCTTGGTTCCGCTCGATCGCTTCTTCAATACGAACTGTATTGAAGTTGCGTAAGTCCCGCCGCATGCATTTGGAGATCTGTCTGTTCAGTTGCCTGTATGCTGTCAAATCTGTTGAAGAATGTAGCTTCATCTCCCGTCTAACAGCCATGAGATTAAGAGTGTGATCGGAGAGTTTTTGTGTTCTTCTGCGGCGGGTCTTGCAGAACTTAGCTCCGACCGCATGGACAGTTTCCACGAGCTTGTCATTCAAATCGTCCACTTCATTGCAGTCTTCTAGGCACTGAAAACGGTTTTGCAACTCGAGCTGAAAGGTTTCGGGACTTTGGATTAGAGCACGAGGGGGACGGAGCGTTGACTTCTTCCGTTGTTCCGTTGTTCCGCTTCTGGAAGAAAGAGTTCATCATAAAGAGTCCCTCTTTCTCCATGAAGTCGGCCAACTGCTGGCCCCTTGGGTTCCGTTGCCCTATTCCAAATTTCCCCACTTTCAGCTCACCGTTCTCTCTTGTGCCTAGTTTTGCATTGAAGTCTCCCATTAACACCGTATATTGGGTTTTGGAGGAATGCATGGCTCTAGAGATATCCTCATACATTTCCTCCACCTTCTGATCGGGGTGTGCCGAGGTTGGTGCGTAAACCTGTATGACCTTCAGCGAATACCGTTTGGTGATTCTGAGTATAAGGTACGCAACCCTCGTCGACACACTCTCAGTCTTTACAACGTTGTTAACGAGAGACTTGTGGACGATAAATCCGACACCTCCTTGGGACAGATGGTCGCCCTCCTGGTAATAGAGCAAGTTGCCGGATTCGAGGATTACCGTGTCCTCCCCCTCTCTTCGGACTTCGGATAATCCTATAATATGCCAGCGTAACTTGACTATCTCTTCTTCCAGCTCCACAATCTTCTCGTCAGTCCTCAGGGTGCGTGCGTTGTATGTTGCCAGGTCGAGTCGTTGTAGGTGGCAACCGAACCTCCACCGGAGATTCTTAGCACCCCCTGCCCCGCCGTTACCATGGTCGCCACCGTAGCCAGGAATAGCGGGGCCGCCGGGGACTGGGGGCCGTCTCTTCGTAACTTTCATTATGGGGGGTATATTGCCATGGTTGCCACGCTTGGCGAGCGGGTTGACAACCGCAGTTTTTTATTGTATTTTTGCCGTTACCAGGAAGATACTGCTGCCCATCTCCTGCCTGTTTCCCTTTGTCGCCTTTTACGACACCCACGGGAAGATATGGGGTAGTGGATATTCTTAACCGCCACTACACGGCAGGCTACTTTAAATCATATTTCTTTAATCCTAATAGTAAGATCTTAAATTATGTGTTGGCTCCTTGGCAGCCTCTCTCTCGAGAGGACAAATCCTCCCTCTCCTTTTATCTCCTTATATAATGTCACCACTGAAGTGATTATGACTGTACATACAAAAAAAGTAGTTCCATGTAATATCTTATTTATTCTGCAGGATGTCAATTTTTCTTTTAAGAGCAGATGCAGAGTACTCTTCTGCAAATTGCCGATTTTTCAAAATACAAAATCTCTTCATACAAATGTGAAATACGCTATTAAATAAGTAATCTATATTCATATCTTTATGTTCTGGACATTCATCGAGAAACTCCAAATTTATTGAGTTTTTGAACAAAACTTTAATTGTCCCTTTTAATTTTTTTTTATATGCCTCTGCCTCTAAAAAATCATAAATCATCGTAGTACTACTTTCAATACAGTTAATGAGGTTTTTAGAGGCATATTTAAGGGACTTATTTAGATCACTATATTCTTTAAAGTCAATAAAAGTAAGTGATCTCTCTTGTGCCTCAGATACAAAATTTTTTTTACAAATTTCACATTTGTTGAGATTATTTTTTACTATAAACCCACAGACATACGCACATGCTTGTATTTTGCCACTGCTTTCTTCCAAGCTACATTCAAATGTAGAATTTACACTTTCTTCTAACTCATCGGTTAAAATTGTGGCATAAGCAGCGTGTGTCTGTTGGTAGAGACAATAAAGTTTTAAAATTTGTCAATATAACTTGATTTTGGTCTTCTTCACAATTTCCTGTCTTAATAAAAGATAAGTTGCTAAGGACAGCCGTTTTAAGACCCGCAACAAACTGCCCAGCTGTGAGTGCCTTCTTGTTTCCAAACTTTTTATTGATTTATGTTTAGAACTGAGATTTCTCCAGATTCGTTCTATTCCATTGATGGACCATATCCAACCTTCTTGGGATGGAGAGGCTCGTTTGCATCCCAAAAACGTCATTTCTTTAAAAAATTTCTTCATTAAAGTGAAATGTGTGAGATGTGGTGTATTATTTGTCATGTTTGTCGATAAAAACTTTTTAACAAAAAATTAAACCGCCGTAAAAACCGAAAAGCAAAAAATAATAAACCTTTTTTATTTAACCTTAATAACTAAGTTCTTAAACTAATTTAAGTATACCTAAGTATATATTTTTGTAATTATTTTAAGTTTTTAATTAACCCTAATAACTAACTTCTAAAACTATTGTAAGTATACCTAAGTAATTTTGAGTCGGCGCCTGTTTTTGCTTTTTCGAGCATTATTCTTGCAACTTTTGCGTACGTGCAAATGTGCGAGGCCATCAGCAAAATTCGGCGCGTACGGCGCGTATGGCGCGGACAAATGTGCGTTCAGCTTTAATGTTTATCGCTGAAGATTTCACGTTGAATTGTTAATTTGATTTTGATTTTGTTATTTATTTAAATTTAAGGTAATTTCATTAATTTAAATTATAAATTAAATTTTATTAATAAGGTTCATTGATTGTTTGGCGCCGACTCAAAATTACTCAGGTATACTTACATTAGTTTTAGAAGTTAGATATTAGGGTTAATTAAAAACTCAAAATAATTACAAAAATGTATACTTAGGTATACTTAAATTAGTTTAAGAACTTAGTTATTAAGGTTAAATAAAAAAGGTTTATTATTTTTTGCTTTTCGGTTTTTTCGGCGGTTTAATTTTTTGTTAAAAAGTTTTTATTTTATAATTTTTCGTGGCTATAATATACTAATTACTACATGCTTAGTTTTTGACTACTTTCAAATTAGCTACCTACCTTAATTTAGCCTTTAACTGTTATATAATCCTACTTTAACTATTATTTGTTGTATAATAATATAAATTCTTTAAAAAAACAGGCTTTATATCCCACCATGGGTAGGCCTACAAAAAATGCTGCTCGAATGAGAAAAAGATATTTAGAAGAATCTAATAATGAGAAAAATAAAAGTTTGGAAGCGAATAGAAAGAGAATTAGATTAACACGTTCACAGGAGTGTTTAAATCAGCGCGAGGAAAGACTGTCCAAGATGAGAAGCTAAAATAACGATAGGTTATCGCAAGAATGTGAAGAACAACGCGCTCATCGTTTAGGTCTGATAAGAGAGCGACTTTCAAATGAAACTCAAGACGAACATTTGCTACGTTTGGATGCTGCTCGTAACTGTTCTGCAATGGTGATACTTCACGAAACTCCCGAGGAGAGAACGAGATAAGCGGCTTGCGAGCGAAGAAACCAATGTAATGCAGAAAATTTTAAGAAAGCGATTAATGTTTATGCTGACTTGCCGTGTTCAATATTCGAAAAAAGTTTGTATCCTCAGCAACGTACGATATTGCAAACTACAAATTTAGGCTCTATTTTCCCTAATGAATTGGTAGCTTTAGGTAATATTAATACTTGTTCACGATGCTCAAATAATATTAAAAAAACAATACTCCACCGTAGGCCTATTGGAATAAAATGTCGGTAGCTGCAATGCCTACAGAAATCGATGACTTATCGGAAATTGAGAAACGTTTTATTTGCAGAGTAGGTAGTGCCATTTCTTAAAATAATAAAAGTTCAAAATCGTTTGAGCCAAGACTGGTGCAAAGGGCAGGCAATTATTTTTGTTTAGGATGTGGTCGAGCTGGCGGAGCGACTTCCGCTTGAACCTAATCAAACTGGATTAGTGCTTGTAGTAGAAAGTCGTGAAAATTTAGAACGTTCTAGGGAGTTTCAAATAGATGTATGTAAACTTCAATTAGCATTGCAGTGGCTCCTAATGAATAATGCACTCTATAAAGATGTTCGCACCTGCACGTGGTCATAATAGTCAAGAATCAATTGCTGAACGGTCAACTGTAACTACAAATAACTATACTGCCTTGAGTAACAATGTATCTATATTATATGGTTCTTTTCATCAGAACAATGAATGATTTAGTCCAGAGTCACTTGGTCGGCAATGCACAGGGATTGTAACTGTTGCTAGTGTGGCATTTTCTCTGATAAATCCCAATAATTGGTGCAAAAGCGATATAGATTACATGTTATTGGTAGGAGATAAATATTATAGAGACTGTATTGCGGCTCGGGCTAACCCCAATTTCGAAGAAGCACATATCGAATATTTGGCTGCAACTAAGCTTTTACTTAATATCACATACAAAAATCAAAAAGTTGATATCAATGTTCGTCATGAATCAGCTTTTAATGGTCACGTAGATAACGACAATAGTGAAGAAGGATTTCCCAATTTGTTAAATGCTCTAATAAATGTATTTGCTACATATGGGAAGAAACCTCCAGATAATGTTGTTCCAAAAGATGTGAACAATTGTAGTGGACTTTTATCTGAAGTAAAATTAGCTGTCGAATCTCGTGTGATGTTGAGACGTAACAATCAGTATCTGACGGGCTCGTCAATGTAGCTATGGATATTGTAAAAATAATAAAACGGCTATCACTACGCAGGGATCAACTAGAGGAAGGAGAATTACCGGATTGCGTATTAGTAAAACTTGACGATGAAAGCATAGGAAGCAGACTAAAAGATAGCGATGGCTGTGCCGCCATACCTTCAGTGGTAGCCACCTTTTAAGGTACGAAGGGTAGTGGCGATATTGAGCGCAGGATTTTGCCGATAATTTTATGCTGGGCCGTCACGGTTCACAAATTACAAGGTGCGACCCTTGATAAAGCTGTAATCGACCTCGGAAAGAAAGTGTTTGCCAAAGGACAGGCATATGTGGCACTGAGTAGAGTAAAAACACTTGAGGGTATTGTTATATCTGATTTAGAGCCAAATAAGGTATTACACAAACCTCACGATGAACGAGCTTTAGCAGAAATGCAGAGACTGAGAGGTCTACACACAAGAGACTGACAGCTCTAAAGCTCATTCATCGTGAGGTTTTTTTGTAATGTAATGTAATGTAGTGTAATTATTATGTAATGTAGTAATACACCACTCAGAATTAAAATCTGTGAGTAAAAAATAAATCTAAACCCTATTTTCCCACCCTTAGGGTAGACATTTTTATTCCAAATTTATATGGGACCAATTTCGAGGTATACCCTATCCAATAAAAAAAGAATTATCAAAATCGGACTACTTTGTAAAAAGTTACGCGTGGTCATACATAAAAAAAATATACACGTCGACTTGAGAACCTCCGTTTTTTCGTCGGTTAATAATGATTTCCCCCTTCTTAGGTCTGCTGTGCAGCATGCGTTGACACAATCAAACAGCTTGTCCATATTTGCTGTCCATATTGGCTTAACACTTGTGCAGTTAGCTTCACCTTCATCTTCTGCTTCGTATTTGGATTTAAATGTTCTTGTTTTAAGCAAGGTGCAAACATAAAATTGGGATTGGTGTTATCTGTTTCATAAAACTCCTTTATATGGCTCCATTTAGCAACACCTGTAAAAAAAATTTGTGTAAATATCCAGTAAATTGGAAATATGTATAATATTATGATTGTAATAAAACAAAATATCTAATCTTATCAAACCAAATTTGATCATTTGATGTTATATTTGTTGGACATCTAATGTCATATATATTAGATGTTATATTTCTAAAGCATTTGAGCAAATGTGGAGTATCAAAAATGGTAACCACTTCTCGATTACTTAGCAGAATATATGGCTGTTCTACAGATGCTCCCAAGATACTTAAAGCTCTCTTATTCACCATCCATATCACACACTGTAGCTGAAATATTAATTCCAGCATCAAAACAATGTTGCAGGACCTAGAATGATAAAAGGGTAAATTAATATGGTAAAAAAGTACTACTACATATATTGACATAATAACAAATAAAAGACCATAATGCTCACCTCCTTAGAATAATAATAAGCAACTGGTTGTTTCAGCTTTTTACGGATTCCGCCAATCATGAACACGAGGGCATGTGTTGCCATTTGTGGTGAACTGCCCTGCAATGCATGGTCTTGATAACCCTCAATTATGTCCTCCTTTTTGTTGTAAAACAAATTCTTTTTTATTGACATCTCATCAAACATAAGGATATACTCATTGTCTGAGGGAGTCTGTTGCTTTATTGTTTTTTTCAAAACATTAAATATTTGGTCATTAATACCAACTTTCATGTGAAACTTGCTTAATAACGCTTTTAATGAACTAGGTGTTGGCAGGCAAATCATCCTTCTTAATAATTTGTAACACCTAGGTGACCTTTTATACAGTCTTAGTGCTATTATTTTGGAGTCCATGTTCCATCTTCGACCTTTTGATTTTTTTTTATAGTTTTGCAATTCTCCTTGCAAAAATAATGCAAAAGAGGGAGATATTTTACATTTTAATATTTCATTTACGGAATCATTTTTGCTCAATACTTTGAGAAATGCTTCATTCTTTAGATGCTTTACAGTTTTTTGAAGCCTGTTAATTTTTTCAGATGATATTTCATTTTTATCAACATATCTTTATCCTTTTTGTTTTTCGTGGATGGATTTGCAGCAGCAACAGGGTTGATATTCTCAGTTACTTGAGGAATATCACTAGCTTTGTCAGGAATGGTTTTATAATTTACATTCTCACACAAGGGTTGTATAAATTTTGACGGACCCACAACATGCTCAAATACATTTGGAACAGTTATAGTCTTCTGAATATTTTCAGACAGTGGTTGTTTATTAGTTGATGGACCTGCAATATGTTGAATGACATTCCTTTGTTCCAAATTAAGGTCAGCTAATGTGATCTGAAAATTAGAGATTATCAAATCATTATTTATATCATGTATCCCAGCATTGGTCAACCAATCTCTAAATTTCAAACAGCTTTATAAATTTATAAACATTAAATACAACTTGTTTTTTTTAATGAATGTTGCTTTAACACCATTACCACCACCATCCTATTTTTAAGACACTATTTTAACAATTTCTTTTATTTGTAAATATATTCTGTAAGTAACTAAATTATAATCATGTCATTTAAACAACATTGACAAATCCATCCACGAAAAACAAAAAGGATAAAGATCCTTTTTGTTTTTCGTGGATGGATTTGCAGCAGGTAGTGCTAATTAATGACATGAAAATGTTGACTTATTAGTTTTTAATGCAGTCAATAACAATAATATAACGAAAACAATTTCTACAAATGTAATATTATTGGTGGCATCTATAATATAATCAGGTTATTGGAGTTTAGACATAATATTGCAAAGCTATTGCCTTGTTTGTAGAATGTGAAGGTAAATAATGTTTTCTTGTTAGAAAAAAGTGTTTATATTAGATTGTCTAATCTTTTTTATATAAAACCAATGTACCTTTACTTTCCATTTTGCTTAAATGTCATGTTACATATACCATGTTAAAAATTAGTTAATTACTCCGTCATTTACGTCCATCAATGTACCAACGGTTTTTCTATGTACCAATGTAGACAAGTATGTAATGTAAATAAAAATTATGTATTTCAAAAACCACTTTTATTTGAAAAATAGTTCCTTTTTTATATTAAAATGATTGCTAATCGTTTCAAAAGTGGTTTATGAATGTAAAGTACCATAATTTACAAATAACTTTGTGCTTTTGTTTTCGTTTTAATTTAGCAATATATATTATTGAAACGAAAAACTACAAGCTATATCGATCTATATGGCATTTTACATTCTTAAGCCATTTTTGAAACGAAACAACCAAGAAGACAACTAAAAAAAAATCACGTGTCAAAATTCCCGCGCAAAAAGTTTTAGGGGGCACGACAGAGATAGCGTGCATTATGGGTGCCATTTTCTTTGTTTGAAGTTGACATTCTTCCCGCCTATGGAGTGTAGAGTAGAAGGAGGACCATCTCTGTATATGAAAAGTGTCCCTAAAAACGTGTCCAATAAGGGTGGCGCTGCAGTAGCATAGGATAAATTAAAAAAGAAGCGCCAAAAGTATTTAGAGTAAGATGGAGAAATAAATAAGGACCGATCGATCCGCTTGGTTTTGTACTACGTAAATAGTTGAGATTTTGTATATTGGCGTTTTATTAACTACTCTAGTCATGAAATATTTGAATTCAGCTGACTTCACTCCGTTCATAACAGCTATATTCATATCGTAGTTTTTCAGACGCCAGCGCTATTGTGGTATGTTTTGAAACCTCTATTTACAGTAAATAGTAGGACACTTTTTCAACCTTCGCTCCTTATAAGATGGTTCTCCTTCTACTCTACACTCCATATTCCCGCCTAAGGGTATTAGTGCTCGCCAAAGAGTATAGTAATTGGTTCCCTATATATAATGTACTCTGTGGTAATTGGTGCCCGCCTAACTATATATAATGTACTCTGTGGCCTAAGGGTATTAGTGTTCTGTGGTATTCATCTACTGTATTTTTATTTTGTTGGCCTAAAGGTCTAGATGCCAGGCCATAAACTCCAAAAAAAAATATTTTTATTTTGGTTTGGTATTTTTGAAAGATTTGAATTTTTAAAACGTCGAATAAAAATGGATTTAGGAAGCGAAAACCTAGATTTAAGTAAATTAATAAATGTTAAAGGTAATGTTGATAATATAACGCCACACAAAATAGCCGTTGTGGCGTTTATTCGTGAATACGGTCTATTGAAAATAGAAGGTAATATATATATTAAATAGTTTATAAATATCCATATTTTTATTAAATTTGTTTTACGACCTTTATTAAATTGAGAAACTTTTTAAAATTGTTTCAGCAAAAGATATGATTGATTGCACTATGGCCCCTAAATACAGAAAAGACTTTTGTATTCTTGCACTTAAGTTAATTCAGGTATTTTAGTAATTTCCTAATTGACATATATTTTTATGCTATTAATAATGACTAAATACTTTTTAGTGTCCAGATATGGAGTTTAAAGATTTGGAGAATCTTCTTACACTTGGGCGTTATAATTTACTAAGTGTTCACTTAGAGAACTTTTGTGTTCGTCTTAAGAACATACATGTTAATGGTATAAGTGCTCTGATGGATTGTGTTACTTCAACTGTTGACAAATTAATGATTGAACAAAATGAAGCTAATCCATGTATAATTACTAGATGCAGTGTCTTAGGTAACAGTATTATATCATATAATTTATTAATTTATTAAAACAACATTATTAATAAATATGTTGGAAGACTACTCTTCTAAATTATTTAAATAAAAAGAAAAAAAGAAAACACTAAACAGCAAGAACTAAAGACAAGATAACCAATTGAATGACTTTAGAGGAATGGCTTCAATGAACAAAATCTTGACAAAATATAGTGCCTGCAAAACAACTCTGAAGGGAGGTAGGAAGTTGAATGATTCCCTTACACCTCAGAATGTTGCACTGCTGTGTACAATAAGTTGCTGCTTGAAATATCTTTACATTAACATCTGACAATTATGAAGCTAGTATATATTTTAATAATATTGTTTTAAAATTTCATTGTGTAAGAAATCCAAGGAACTAGTGGGAGTACAAATTAATTTGGTCCATTTTATGGTGTAAAGAATGAGTTTATTTCAAAACAATGTAAATAAACAGATTAATTGAAGTATTGTCCATTGCTGGCTACTACATTTTCTCACCTTTCAGGCAATTTTCGAATTCCATCTCATAAAAACGTCTAGTCTTTTGAAGCTATTCATGTTTGGTGCCAATTTTCGTTTTCTTTTAAAAAAGAAGTAAACCGGTTACCTGTCAAATCTTGCTGCATCCGTTGGAACAACCAGTAATTGAAAAGAGCAATGTCCGGCGAATAAGGCAGGTGTAGTAAAATATCCCAGTTGAGCGTTTCTGAATAATTTTTCACAACTTGCGCCATGAGTCTGTGCATTGTCGTGCAAAAGAATAACTTTGTTGTGTCCTTCCTCATATTCTGGTCTTTTTTCTTGTAATGCCCAGCTTAAACGAATTAATTGCAGTCTATACCGATCGCTTGTAATGGAATCACCAGGTTTTAGCAGTTCATAATATACAACAACCTTTTGGTCCCACCAGATAGACAATATGATGTTTGAACCATGAATATTCGGCTTTGGTGTTGATGTTGAGGACGATGGTAACAAATGATCTGGTGGAAAATGATATTTTTTCTTCTTGGGATTATTACAGAATATCCACTTCTCATTCCCAGTCACATTCCAATACAAAAAACCCTTTCTTTTTTGTCTTTGAAGCCGCTGCTTGCAAATGAAAAATCGCCTTTTGAACGTTTCTTGATTTCAGTTCATAAGGCACCCGATTGCCTTGCTTGTGAATCATTCCCATGGATTTTAATATACATACTGAAACTGTTTTTTGTGTCACTCCCAATGAATCCGTAAGCTCTTGTGTTTGACTGGGATCTACATCGAGTAATGCCTCCAATTCTTTGTCTTCGAAATTTTTTGGCTGTCTAGAGCAAGACTTGTTATCAACACTAAAATCATCATCTTTTAAAGGTCGAAATTATGCGCGACATGATTTAGCAGTTGGAGCATTGTCACCGTAAACCAAGCATTCTATGCTCGTAGCTGCAATTTTCTTCTAATTAAAACAGAAAAGTTAAATCTCCCGCAAATACTGCTTAGTTTGCTGACGGCTCCGTGGCGCAGTGGCTTAGCAATGAGCTGCTACGCTTGTGGGCGCGGGTTCGAATCCCGCACGGAACAAGTATTTGTATGGCCTACAAATAATTGTTCCGGGTCTGGATGTTTGTCCTTGTGCAATTTGTGTTTGTAAACTGCCTCCACGATACAGGAGAAAATCCTAGTGTGGTGGTAACATGTTTTTTTTAAACAAAAAAAGCTAAAAAGAATTTACAAAAATTTTGACATTTTTAACACAATAAAAAATAGATGTTTTGTATAAAACTCAAAGCAAAATAAACTGTATATTATTCACAATGTCTCTGACACCATCACAATCAGCTGTCACTATAAAACATTCATAACATCCAGAGCCATTTTTGGAAAATGGACCAAATTAATTTTTACTTATATATAATTTATAAATGGAAACCTGCGGTTTTGTAAAAGAAGGAATATGGAAAGGGGATCCCCTGAGGAGGAAGTATCTAAGTGCAGGGGGCATAGTTTTCGAGATAAATACAGTTATGTCTGCAAAAAAATCTCAAATCAAAGTAGAAATTACAGGATTGAAGGAGATAAGCATAGAGCAACATGGGCCACCACATTCCCCTCTGTCTAAGTTCACGCATTAAGTCTAGTGTAGAAAATACTTATACTTAATATATGGTCTATATCAGGACAAATCCTGATATAGACCAAATATCAGGATTTGTCCACGATTTGTTTGTTGTGGCACTTTAAATATGTTACCATGTTAAAATATGCCTGCTTTTTGCACACACTGCATCACGTAGCATCTCCAAGTTATACACTGAGGCCGCTAGCCTGGAGTCCGATGAGGCTGTAGGAGCCAAAAGGCTAACAGCACTAACATCATCAGAAACAAAATCGGATTATCTGATCCGAATCTGCACAACCAGTGTGTGATGACATATGGATCTTAGACATGGTCCTTCACTGCTAGCCGTGAGGAAGCTCAAGGTCACTCAGCGAGCTATGGAAAGGGCTTTGCTCGAGGTTTCTCTGCATGATAAATAATAGCCCAATGGATTAGTAAGCTGAAGTGGCAATGGGCCAGCCGTATAGCCCGAAGAACAAACAACCGATGGGGAAACAAGATTCTTGAATGGGAGCTTCGTAGCGGTAGTCGAGGCGTGGGGCGGCCCCCACTAGGTGGAGTGACGACCTGGGAAGACATGCAGGAAGTCGATGGATACAGGTGGCTCAGGACCGTGCTTTGTGGCATTCCTTGGGGGAGGCCTATGTTCAGCAGTGGACTTGTAAAGGACTATAATGATGATAATGATGAATCTGCACTGTCAATGGATACATGTACCATACTGCATTGACTTGATTATACAGAAAAATGCTAAGGAATGTAAAGAGTATACATGAAAGAATGTTTTTACATACTTTGTTTTTTATCAGTTTATAAACTTAATACATTCACTGTCCGATTTTCAGACACAATAGAAGTAAGACAATAGCAATGACCTATATGTAGTGCATGGGACAGCGAAAGGGTTAATATTCGGGGTTGTCATTTTTGAAACATAGTATTTCATTTTTGTGATTTTTCCCATAATTATACCTGTGGATTGGCTTACTTTAATATTTTGTTATCTACATCTTTTCTAACCCTTTCTATGTATACAGAGAAATCCTGTTTGTGAGTGCGTGCATGTAAGCGTGCGTGTCTGTGTATGTGTACACTCAAGCGTGTATGCATAAGTTTGTGTGTGTATGTTTTTAAATCTGATCATAGCAATCAAGATTAAATACATTTTTAAAATAAAGTCTTATTAGTTCATGTATTATAATATTAAATTTGAATGGGTACTTGGATCATTTGGTAAATATGAAAATTTAACATTTAAGGTTTTTACTTGAGGCGCATAATGTTACATTTGGATAAACTTACATTCGTGCAAGTTGTATCATTATACAAATCATTTTGCCAATATTATCAAAAAGGAAGACCAGGTTTGATGATGAGATCACTAAGTAAAGAGGTACATTCCCCTTTTTTATATTTGGAATTATATAAAAACGTCTTATTTTAAATGGTAAACTTTTACTTTTTTTTTCAATTTTCAGAAACTTAATAATATGGAACCACCAGGTGCACCTACCTCTTCAGTGTCTCCTGTCTTTTTAGAAGAATCTAAACCACCGGAAGTATTTATGAAGATGAATATGATTGAAAGGGACAAGTAAATCCTTATTGTTTACAATTAACTTACTCCGTAAACATGAAAGGTAATAATAGAGACTTATAATTGTTTCAGCAGTCTCGAAGAATGCCAATGGTCAAGAAAGCAGGCTGAACTATTCACAGCACAGCAAGCAAATTTGTTACAAATAAATGAGAAAAAAGCACTTCCTCCTAGACAGCTACAGAAGACTATTATGCAAATAATAAATGATATTCCAGACTATTCAGACATTGTAAGTGAAATGGTTATAAACTTATTGTAACCATTTTTGTAAAACAATACATTAATGATTATTGTACTATTTCAGCATTTTTTAAGTTTTTTAAATTGTATTCGGATGAAGGAGTTTTGTGGTGCTCAAGATTCACTGTACAATTGTTTTGACAGAACCGTGTTCAATATTTGTGGCAACGCTAACAACTGTAATGACAAAAACAAAAATTTTCGGTATGCTGCCCTCAATAGAGCTGCCATGCACACACAATTTGGACATTTGTGAGTAGATTAGTATTGGTAAATTCATTTATTGTATGTTTACCCAACAAAAAGTAATAACTTTCTGAAATCTGTTTCGCCGTGTGGTGGCGGTGTAAGAGTATCCACCATTCCATTTCGTCGTATGAGCGTGTGTGTGATGAGTGCATGTGCGCGCGCGCGGTGTGTGTGTGTGTGAAAAATCTTATAGCTTCCGATAGATGGTGGCATGACCATTTCGTTTCCACCACACGTAACAATATCCAGACCGGCGACTGAAAGCAGCGTCAAACGTACGAGACGTGTGGTACTACGATAGTCAATATTTATATTACAATATTCATAGGCGATATGTGAAATTCCAGAGAGATCTCATTGCTTCCGATAGATGGCGGTATAATCAACTCGTTTACGACAGACGTAAAATGAGCAGACTGGCGACAAGCGGCAGATTCAAAGGTGTGAGACGTCTGGTACTTCAATTGTCAATCTGCCTACCAAGTGTGACGATTAAGGGCTTGTACACAAAACTGCGATGCGACGTCGCATCGTAAAAATCTGTGAGCCCCCTCGACGCATTGCAAGAACTTGCGAATTGATTCGCATCGCACATTCCTGCGATGTTACAAACACAAAAGGGCACACTTCTTTTTACGATCCATGTCACGACCTAGTTTTCAAAATACGTTCAGTACGGTTGACGGTCGTCGAAGGAATGGTCACCCTAATCGTGGAAGGGAGACTCCTTACCGCACGAAATCGCATCGCAGCAATTCGTGTCGCAATTTTCTGCGTTGCAAATTCGCATCGCGTCGCATCGCAGTTTTGTGTACAAGCCCTAAGGGGAACCATGTGTTGCAATATCAACGGCAGTGGTTTCCTTATTTTCTGTGATGTTAGCGCTGTTACCCAGTTGGCTTTTACAGCTTCATCGGACCTAGGGCCCGCGGTCTGAATGGCCACAAGGCATTGAGGAGAGTTAAGTTGAATGTTGATGGAAGTTGTGGCTAGGTGGTATGAGTCTTTTTCTGCGTACGAGTTCGTCTGGATGGGCACAACCCTCTTACTTATTACTGCTGCTCAATAGCAATGCTTGCATAGTTATGTTCCAGTGTGAAGAGTATAGAAAGCCAGTGTAATTAAAATCTGTGAGGCATTCCATCTTAGTTCTCAGTTTTGACAACTCATCCGTAGCCTTCTTGTATAAAGCTGTTTGCAGGTGTCCATGGACTGCAGTAGACGTTTACTATTTTTACTTTTTGACCCGTGACCACGGTTGCTGGAAAGCAACCGAAACGTCGGGAATATAAAATAAGTTAATTAAACGCGATAAAATCCGTAAAAATAGTTTTATTTAATGTGTAGTGTTCGCGTAAATATAAGAAATCATTAGACGTTTACTGTTAAGTGGAAAGTACAGCGGTTTTACAAAAAAAATTATGGTAATTTGGTTGCAGTAATAGGGCACGCAATTACGGGAGTTAGTGAGGTGCTCTTCAATAATGTCATGTAGACCGAATTTCGGTCACGGCGGCCAATTCCAACGGAGACTAGGCTTCTGCGCAGGACAGGATTATAGTGTCCGAAAGTATGCGCAAGCACAGTTGCATTCTCTATTCCCTTACTCTCATAGTCCGATGGGACGATATTATAAATCAGGCGAAGTACCAACGCCTTTACGTGCTCTCCGAGGCAAGGTAGTGTAACACCGCTAACTTCCTGATTCCGGGCTGCTACTTGGAATTTCTTGACAGAAAACCCAATAACTGATTATTGATTATAACCTGTATTCAGACCCGGGAGCTTATGATTCATAACCGCGTTTACGGTCACTAGACCAACGAATTTGTAAAACTGCTCTTCATAATATTAACATAAAATTTAATTAATAATAAATATTTCACATTTTAATAAGATCTGTGTAGGTCAGTAGACTGGGGGTAGGTGTGTAAAATCTCAACAAAAGAACAATATTTGAGTGAAGTCCTTTAGTGTAAAAAGTTTGTATTTTTTCGATATTGTATTTCGTTAGGTTAGTGAGTACATGTTCAATTTTACTACTATTAAACATTTTTTACTTTTTTTTATAGAATAAGGGTGATAAACGAGTGTACAAAAAATGGCAGGGGATCTGATGTAGATGTATATATCGTTATATATATATATATATATATATATATATCATTAACCAATTTTAGAAAATTTTTGTTCCAAGAACCCATGAAATATGAAATTATAATGAAATGTCTACTGCGCATTCAAGATGCTGAGCAAGTAAACAAATTTTCGACGTTTATATACTGGCAACCTTTATTAAAGTCAAAAATAACTTGCTAGTTATTTTTCTCACACAAGCTAAAATTTACAAGCATTTAAAGTTATTTGGTGTCGTGCCCCATATGTGGTGCACGTACAGTGATCGTGTTAATTAAGATGTGGCAAGGCAAGGTGCACGGCAGCACGGTATAACTTGTAGGTCGGTGGCGATGGAGGGCGTGCAGGAGGCGCTGGGCGCGGCGCAGGAGGCGGCGGACGCGGCGTGCCTGGCGCACGCGGCGGCGTGGGGCGCGCTGGCGGGCGGGCGCGCGCGCCGCGCCGCGCTGCTGGCGCGGGTGCCGCGCGCGCCGCGCGTCGCCGCCGCCGCCGCGCAGCTCATGGCGCAGCACGCCGCCGTCAACGCGGCTAAGCCGGCAGAAGTTTTCCAGGTCTCACACTCGAACTACCACTTATTGACGTTAATACGTCTTTCATTTTTTTTGTAGAATAACAGTGACAAACGTGCACAGAGTCCATCTGATGTTAAATGAATGCTGTGCCCCATAGACATTTTATGTGGTAGTATAATTGTAGCACGAATGGGTCGGCTCGACCGGGGAAGGACCACGCTCTCTCAGAATACCAGCGTAAAATAGCAATTTAACGCTGCTGTGTTTCGTATGGTGAGTGTAGAGAACCGGAGACCATTTTTACTGGAAATGAGGCAATAGATCTTAGTCCTCACGGGTGAGAGCGCATCTGCATTTTGTTTGATGTAGATGTCTATGGGCCGCAGCAACCACTTACCATCAGGTGGACTGTGTGCTCGTTTGTCACCCTTATCATATTAAAAAAAAAAAACCTATACATTTATCCTCGATTAAGAATGCAGATGCGTTGTCACCCCTGAGGACTAAGATGGAATTCCTAGCTTCCAGTAAAATGGGTCTCTGGTTCTCGACACTCACTATACCATACGCGGCAGCGTTAACCTGCTATTTTACGCTGGTATTTTGTGAGAGCGTGGTCCTACCTCGGTTGATCTGACCTATTCGTGCTACAACCATAATATAGCTGCAGCATAACTCTACCACGTAAACATAACAGTTTTAAACCATCACAGATTATTACAAAAGGCGACTCCATAAATTACCTTCATTCAATGACAGATTTGAATTGTTGAATTCAGCAGACGTCTGTTTTAATAATCACTACGGTTTACCATAAAATACAAAAATTAACAGGTTCTAAACACACCGACTATTCTCATTAATTGTAGACTAAGCAGTTATTTGAGATAAGACATTAAACTGTAACATTAATCATGTAACAAACATCTTTTAAATCACTAGCAGACCTGTCTCACTTCGTGCTTTAGGCATGAAAATATACCTACGCTACGCGGCCCCCTACGAGGGGCTAATTCCGTGAGTTCAAACATCTCTTACCACCACTATATCAAGGCATAGGCAGTTCAGAACCATTAATGGCCTCATAAAATTTACTACTAACCAATGATGACCAATGCACTATAATTTCTGCACAGATTATTACAAAAGGCGACTCCATAAATTACCTTCATTCAATGACCGATTTAACGATGGCTGGATTGGCAAATACAGCAGCGCTGTGGTCGTTGTATGGCAAAACAGAAATGGCTTCCATAAGCTGTCAACTCCTTCTAAATCTCAACACAAGTAAGTTGTCTCGTTTTACAATTTTTGTTTAAGGCCCACAAAGATACAATTTAAGCATGAATTGAATGAATGATTGAATGAAAGTGACGGCTCCGTGGCGCAGTGGCTTAGCAATAAGTTGCAGCGCTAAGGGCCGCGGGTTCGAATACCGCACGGAACATGTATTTGTATGGCCTACAAATAATTGTTCTGGAACTGGATGTTTGTCCTTGTGAAATCTATGTATGTAAACTGCCCCCGCGAAAAATAAAATAAGTAGAAAATCCTAGTGTGGAGGTAACGTTTTTAAAAAAGAGAGGAACGGAGGCAAGTAGTGAAATTAAAAATTTTGTACAACCGACTTCAATATTAATACGCATTATTAAGGATAACTCCAAAACTACTGGGCAGATCTTGATCGAATATATATGGGACATATAAATTATAAACACCAGCTTTCAAATAAAAAAAGAATCATCAAAATCGTTTCACCTAGAAAAAAGTTCTAAGGTAACACACACATAAAAAATACAGTTGTATTGAGTACCTCCTCCTTTTTTTTTAAGTCGCTTAAAAATGGTAAGTAGGTAATTTATTTAAGTTTCAAAGACGTTAACGTTGTTATAATCTTAATTTTTCTCGATGTTGCATACTAACCTTCCTCACATTGAACAATAATGTTCTTATTAGCAAATTACTGATACATTGCATAACACCTCGGTGTATTCTACTACCAACTAATATCAAAGGATTCAATTTATTTTCGCCCAACATCTAACCCTACACTAGAAGCGGCCTTAACAAAGGCGTGCAACGGGCTAAGTGATACAGATTCTCACACGCGGACGTAATTAATACGCGCGCCGTATTATTATTTTTTCGACGAAATAATCGGTAGGCTATTGTAACCAAGGTCATATTCGAGGCGAGCAAAGTATTATGAACATTAGCAACGTTGTAACTAGGTTTAAACTTGCAAGTTTGGTATTAAAGAGTGCTCCTTCTGTTCTTGTACTATTATTTATTCTGTGTCAGTAGCAAGGATTGTCCGACCAATTAAGTATAATGAAAACAGTTGTTTTCATGTTCACACATTCCATTGCTAGTCCACTGCCGTACACAGGCACAAAGAACCACCTGTTTTTTATCTATAAAGATATTAATCGATCTCTCAATTATTACATTATGTTCTCAAATCAATAAAAAGGATAACCATTAACCGGTTCAGTGCGGGTGACACGCCAGGCGTGCCATCGATTACTTTTGTGTGTGGCGTATGACACGCGAGTCGTGTCTTTTTTTAAAATCGTTATAACTCGCTCAAATTGCTTTTTTGGAAAATTTATCTAGAACAAAATATTCATTATTTTGCGAGTAGTTCATGCATGCAGCTACGTTTCTGGATATTTTGAAAATTTTAAATTTTTAGGGGTTGACAACCTTTTTTTTAACGTGTACATGGTACTATTTTTACTTTGTGTGTTTTAAATCATGTTATGGAAAAATTGTCTAATAAGTAACAAATAATAGCACTCATTGCGATCGCTCACAAACTCGAGTTGTAAATAAATTACTGGAAAACAAGTCACCTGTTAAGAAAAAAAAAACAATGCGTTTGTCTTATTGTTTAATTTTGCTTAAAATGGTTGAACTGCCGTCTTATTACTATCATATGGCCGAATAGACCTACGAAGTACCATGTGCTCTTGTGATATGGTATAAGGTTTATTTTTGCTTGAAACAGTTCGAAACCGTTCATGCATAAAAAAGTTCGCTAATAAATAGTCTTTTGTCAATCCGCCGCCGTATAGCGCCGGCGTTTTTTTCCTTTTGAAAACACTTGTTTTGCTATTCTTACTAATTAGACGTTTTCAGATCGACTTTACTTTTACATTTGTATAACATTAAATAATATTTAACATTTGTAAATATCAATGAATGATATACCTTATTTTTTTTTTCAAATTAAGGTTCTTCATTGTTTGATATTTACAAATGTTATTATTAGGTGAAAATTTAATTTAATAAAAACCAAGGTTTCCAGGGTGATGTAGCTGTACCTACTTATATAAATGATTTTTTTTTATAACAAAAAAAAAATAGTACAAAAGGTTTGTAATCTCTTCATAAAAAAAAGTCACTTACTCTCAATTTCAAAGAAAACGCGTAAAAAACACGTAGTTACCCACTAAAAACAAGTATCCTTCCATTTGTAACTTATGTTTGATGTCAAATAAACTTAATTAGGTCTAAACAATTTTTGTCTGTGGCGCTTGACACGCCCGGCGTGTCATGAAATATTTGTTCGCCGCCACAGCTAAAAGTTGTCGAAAATTGGTGCCGCAACGAATCGGTTAATTGTTAGTTATAGAAAATAATATGCTGTAAAGAGCAAGATACTGAACTAAGTTTTAGTTTATGTGATAAGCAATAGGATAATACGCGCGAGGATAAAAATGCCGATTAGGGTGAGAAATAGATGTATTCTTCCACTCACATAGCACTTGTACAATCACATCGTCCAAAATCGCTAAGCTCTATTTGGAAAGGTCTTAATATTCGCAGATGTCGTAGGCCGATTCCTCGCAGCGCACCCCGGAGTAGAGTTCACCAAAGTATTTCGTTCCCGAAATAATTAATTTTCCGATCGCCGGTGCACGCTTTTATCCCCAATTAGTCAAGTATTAGTAATTTTATTTTAATTTAGTTTATTTATTATTTAGAGTCTTTTATTTAGAGTTTTTTTGGATATTTATTTATCACCAGATGAGCTCCCCCATAGCACGGGGTGGTATTGCCAATTGCCGATGTGGTTTTGTCATAGGTAAATGACTTGATGCCCTTTGGAGGAAACGACTGTGGAGGCGCTCTAGCGGTACAACGTATGACGCAAAGTTCAGCTTCCCCTGAATAACCTTTGCATCGTGCCAATTCCAACGACTCCTCTTTATTACAGACTCCAGATGAATCATAAGGTGATCTGTCTTACTTTCCAATTGTGATTTTCGGTTTAGTTTGGTATCCCAAGCTATTCCAAGGTATTCAAATTTTGTTGCGGCATTCGAGGAGGACCTTTCTTGATTTACTTGCCAGCCTAATTTCTGTAAGTATTTGGCGACATATTTGGTCCGACTTCCCAGGATATGTTTATCTTCGTAAATTAGTAGGAAGTCGTCTAAATAGAGTAGTATCCTTATGCCTTGGCTTCTTAAAGTATGAGAAATCCATTTGGTGATCTTGGTGAAATCTGCCGGTGCGCTAGCTAACCCGAACGGCAGGTACGTCATTTGATAAACTTTCACCAGAAAACAGAGGGACAAGAAGCGGCGATGTCTGCTTGATACTGGTAAGTGAAAGTATGCCAGCGATATGTCCAGCTTCATCATGTAACTGTTTTTGTGCTAGTGTTAGAATTTGTAAGTGATTTCGAAGGTGAAATTTTGGTGTTTGGACGTAACGGTTTAAGCCTTTCAGGTTGAATATTGGTCGGGAAGAGTCATCTGCTTCTTTCGTAAGAATATTTCTGAATGAAAACCGCTCTGATGCTGGTTTTCTTAAATAGCTTTTGATTTCAATAGTTATCTGTTTTAATAGCATCTGTTTTGACATTTCTGACGTTACTTTGGTTCGAAATTGAAAAATGTTCTTGGGAGAAAACTTTTTGATTGGCGGTTTTGAGCTCAATGGGATTTTTTACACCAGGATAAAGTTTTGAATTAGTTTTGGCCCTGTTGTCCAATGTTAGACGTAATCTTGTAAGCGCCCTGCTTTGGAAGAATCACTTTCTTTTGCCACTCCCCCCAATCTTTTCTAGCTTGTTGTGGTTTTGGTTGTGATTGGGGTTTATAGTGATGCTGCTGTTTGGTTCTAGTGCGGGCCGTGTTATTGACTCCTCCTGGGTTACGGTAGTACGAGGGTGACACTGAAAGTTCTTAGAAAATCAAAAACTGAACAAACTAGCAAGTTATTAGTTTTATTATATCTTTTCAAAATAGTGTCCATTTACATCAATACACCCTGCTCTTCAAACTAGGTAAGACACATCATTTTATTTTATCGAGAGGATATACGCCAAGTAATTTTTTACCAACTTTAATATAATGGATTTCCGCAAAGGAACGCCTGATTCTATTAATTTACATAAACATTTCAAAGTGCGAGTGACGTGCGAAAGTGAGCGAAAGACGTGCGAGTGCTACGAGTTTCAAAAGCGTACTGAGGAGCAGCGCGCGGCGCCGTGTGCGCCGTATGCATCATGAGTGAAAGAGATAGCAATAGTGCACACATACACAGTATGAACAGATAGTTTGAAGGTGTGAGTGACGTATTTCTAAAAGCGTAATCTTAAGTGGTTCAAGCGTAGGCTTGAACACCTAAATATAATATTTAGAATAAATAAATTTATAATATTTATTGTAGTTAGTCTGGTAATATTGCTAATTTTCGATTGCGGAGCGGTATCGTAATAAAATTACAACAAAAATAGTGCAGGAATAATATACATCATGCTCACTATTTTGCCAGGTAATATACATATTAGGTACACACTATTGCAGCTACAGATTGTAGTAAAAATGTAAGGCGTTTTACGGCCACACATTTTATTAACTTGACAACATTGACCCTTATTCTTTAGACCGTTGTAATTTCTGTTGGATATATATCGTTGTAATTTCTATTGGAATGCCAAGCTTTAGGAACATTTTCGCTTAATATTATTCGAGCATACTTTAGAGAAACGATCCTAATGCCTGTTTAGAAAAAAAGCGATGTTTTTTGTCATTTTGTCACAAACTACACGTAGGCGAAGTCGCGAGGATCAGCTAGTCTTTAATAACAGTAGTAAAACTTTTAAAGATTAAAACATCTACCGTGTTAATACAAAACATGTGTAGTGCCCTGTAGACTCTCCTTTTATGTAACTCATTTTATTTTTTCTCATGTCCTTTTATGATTTGAATTTTTCTTATTTCATTGTACTTATTTTCATACCAGTACAACTACTCCTATTTACTTTGTTT